CTATATGCTGTGTAAACTGAACCAAATGCGTTTCTACTAGAAACATGTTTTCCTCAGAAGGAAAAGATTCTCCTTTCATATCTTATTATTATTAGTGTGAAGAACAAAATAGATCCACAGTAAGAGATAATAATATTTGGTAAAATACTTCCCTCAGGAAAAAAAAAAAAAAAAAAAAAAAGCACTCTAATGAAAAATAATAAATTAGATAGAATAAAGCTTTTGGCACAAATGTTACCTAATCAAGTGAGCAAAAGTACTCACCATCTTTGTAATAATTGATACTATTTGTAGTAAATATATAGTTTCCAATTGAGAACTTCACTTTAAAACTATAACCATTTGGTATAGAGAAAAATCTGTGAATCAATATTTAGGTATTTTACAGAGAGCAAAAATAACATCTGGATAAATCAGATTTTCATGAATTAAAAAGAAAACAATTTCATAGAAATAGTAAAATAGGTTTTAGAGTTTCAATGATAATAATAGAATTACCCAGGTTTTAGGTGTTCTATGTCTATGGAAACATTATATTTAATGTCTATTAGCTTAGTCAAAAACTGGTATATAATCTATTTTGATACTCTGAATATTTATATAACCACTAGATTTTTATGCCATATATTACTTTTCATTGTTAGAGCACTGAACACTGGCTTTTGTTGATAACTGTTGTTACGTTAATTTTTGATGGTCAGGTGTGGTTATAATTAAAAAATAAAACACATCTGCAGGGTATTTTGACAGGTGAATGTAACTTATCATTGTCATGCTCAACAATAGTCTCTATGTACAGATACCCGAAACCTGGCAAACTAAGCCTCCAGCTTGAAACCTGCTGTTTGACCTTGGCAAAACCATTCACTATCCAATGGTCTCAGTATCTGTAGGATCAGAGAGATCTCCATGTGATCTCTTGAGCCTGCTAAGCTTTTATGGTCTCTCCGCTGTACCCCTCCTGCATTTTTTTTGGCCTGAAATTCTTCACCTCCTTTCCCACTTCACCTCCCATTTACCTGGCTATTGCCCGCTTTCTCCATGAATCCTTCCACGACCAAACTTTTGTTAGTTTCGTGGTGTCTAGTACGGCCACAGCCCCATGCCTATTTCTATCATATTCCTATATTTTATTTAACTCCGTATGTGTTTGACATTGTGCCTCACTAGAATGCAAACTTCTTGATGTGTCTTATACACTCTTTTGTCCCCAGTAGCTTGTACTGCATCTGGGATACAGAAAATGCTTGATAAACATTTGTCAAATCAATGAATGGCATAATGAATTAATAAATGAATATATCTAAACCTCTTTTAGATGTCTACATAAAAAAGCTATAGAAATACAATAAGAAAAACTCAGAATAAGATTCTGATTTTTTCAAAACTGCTCCAGGGAGAAATATCAAAAGAAAAAAAACCAATTAGGCATTTATATCAGTTAAGAGAGGTTTTTCGTTGTTTTTATTTTGAATTTTTGCTCCTCAAGGAGCCTTGTTATTTATTTTAATTCATGAACACAAGAATTCTATTTTCTTCTATTATTTGTCCTTAATACTTTCAGCCCCCCCAAAAAACTGTGTCTACACTAAATTGTTTATATGAAAGAAAATGATAGTTATTTGACTCTTGGCAATAAGCAAAAACAATTCCACTGTAAA